CTTTCCCAGAGCAGTGGGCGAGACAATCGCTCATCACCCCTGGGAAACGTCTTCTTTCTTCTTTTCCCCTCGAGCATACCGCCGCGCATGCGCACTTGGGACCGATACCTGACTCTTCAAGCTCGCAAGCTAGTCCCAATTCCGGGGCCTGCTTCTTGGCTACCTTGGATGCATGACAATAAGCCTTCTTTCGATCTGCGTCTAGCACGGGATACATCCATTGATGGCTGCCCTGCCCTGGTCTCGGTCTTCATCGTCTATTCATCCACCTCTCCATTACCGTCGGGCATCTCCCACTTGGAGATCTTTCCCGGCTGCAGTTCCATCCCTTTGTCTCCTCTGCTCGCCAGGCCACCCCTTCCTTCGTGCATCCACGCCGATCCATGCATGACCCCCCAAAATCATTAGATCTCGACCTCGACTCGCAGCCCAATTGTTTCTACTATCAACATCGCCTTGGGCCTTTCTGAACGCAGATCTCCCAAGACGAACAATCACCCGACCCATCTGAACGACACCGCCCCGTCGCAGCCTCACATCCTCACTCAGTTTGACCTTGGCCCGGACCACCGCACGTCTGCCGAAGAGGTGGGCAGGTATTCGAGCGCCACAGAAGCACCACCAGGTCGTCACTAGCCTGACGGCTACCCTCACTTGAAAGCCCTTGGTGCCATACTTTTGTGCCCTATTCGTCGAGGCGCCGCGGGTCTCACTGGTTTCCCTTCACTCTCTGCCCAAGAGTCAACTCACCAAAGTCACTCACTCACTGCGGCTCTGTCTGTCCAAAATCCCGGCCCCTCCAGGATCCTGTCACACAGGAATATTCTTCTTCTCTAACCACCGCGTCACGGAGATCCTGCATATAAGACCCGGGAACTCCGTCGTCATCTTACGCCTAAACCTTCGTTGCCCTCCACTTCCCTGTCGGACAAGCCACGAGGTTCTCTGCGCTAAACGGATTTGGAACCCAGCCAGTCTTTACGTACACGGACTTATTCCACTTGTTGACCCTCTCGGTCGTCTACGAACCATCCACCAAGACGCTCGAAACTCACGGCACTACTCGGCACTACGCCCAGATACAGATCTGACCAGAGCACGTGTGCTTCCTTCGTCCCCTCCTTCACCGGCGAATCGCATCTCCGTCGAGGCACCTTCCTGGCTGCTGAGACCCTGGTGCGGCTTCATCGCCCGTGAGCATTCACGCAGGGACCTGCTTGTAATGTTGGACCTCGCACTTGCATGCACCTCCTGGGATACACCCAGCATCGAACCTGACACCCGTTTGACAACTCATAGCCCTACCCACCCCATTCGCTGGCACCTTGTTTACCAAAGCTAAGAACTTCCGGCGACTCGCAAGACACGAACAACGGCTCGCCTACCGTGGCTGGTTTACTTCTCCATCAGGAATTCTTCAGACGTCAGGGCATAAGAACGCTTTCGCGCTAGACTCCCGCCGCGCTCGTCGTCGCGAACCAGAACACCAGGACAAATATCTCTCTTCATCCCGGCCTCACAACTCTGGTCCGAACTTCCCTTGACTTTTCAGTTTTCCTAATCCCCTTTCCTTGACCACGCACGCGTGTCTCTCGCGCCAACCAATACGGGGCTCACCCCAACCGGAGCCACTTCAACATCCGTGACATCGATATCCTGGCCAAAATCAGTCGTTGACCAGCGCCTTTGACGATCTAGCCTTCCCCTTCCTCACGCCTCACGCTCACTCATACCTGCCGCTACGAGAACGAAAGAAACTAGTCAGCGCTGTTCGCGTTCTTCGTCTCCCGCCATCATACACCTCGAAGCTGGTATCGCCAGGGTCACACAGCCCTTCAGACCAAGCAGATTTTCGAGTGCAGCTCATCCCAAACACAGCGCCCCAAGCCGATTTCGCACAGAACATTGCCGGTCGTGACAACCGACCCGGCAGTTCAAAGTGGCCACCCTCGTGTATCCGTCGACCACGCCTTTGCCCTCGGCGCACTCGACAGGCCAGCGCAACGAGGCAAGTGCGCGCGACTCTCTCCGAGGAATGGACGATCCCAACCGCGTGAGGAGGCAAGGCGAGCCACCAATGCATCCCTCCACCAGCACACGATACATGCAAGATCCCTTGCAGGCGCGCCGCTCTGTTCCCGGTGGCTCTGTGGATCGATACAACCGGCCTGCACCACTCAACACGTCGCCTGCTCAGGGAAGAGCAATGGGAGGAACAGGCAGCTACAGCGCGTACAGCAACTACACGGAGCAGGTGCCAAGTAACTTCAATGCGCCCATGGCCGCGAATACGATGCACTACCAAGCTGGCTACGGTCAGGACGGAAGACAACAACAGAGCTTTGGTGGGTATAACGCCATGCCCATGAGCTACGACAATATCGCTGGTGCCAGCTACGATCCGCAGTCGCAGTTTCAACGGCAGCCTGCAGGAGCGCCCATCCTGCCGACCGACGTTCCCGCAAATTCGTACTTCTCGAACGATCCCAGCAACGCGTCCACAGCAACAAACATTGCGCACGCGCCATCCGGCAGCACGCCTGCGTCAGCCTACCAAACTTCTTCACAAGTGCAGAGCTACTCGAACAACATGTCTAGCGTAGGCGCCATGTCGCAATCAGCACCGAGCGCCGATGTTTCGCTGGAGGAGCAAGAGTACCCTGCGGCCGGAGGACTGGAAGAAAAATGGTTGGAGTATCAAACAGCGCTGCGGGGTGTCTTTCAAAGCATCCGCGCCGGCGCACTGGAGGGTGCCAGTCAGTCGCTTCTCGACGTTTCCAGCTGGCTGCTCTCGCAGGTGACAGACCTAGGTAAGTCTTGTCGAGTCTGAGTCCGCCCCTCGCTATTTCATCCTCATGTAACACCGGCTAACCACTGCGGGTGAACAGGTCTCAATCTCGATGACCAGAAGCTTCACGGAGACAGACTGAAGCTGTGGCAAGACTTTAACTATGCTTGGCTCGCCCTGTTCCAGGCACAACTGGATCTGGCCAAGTCCGGGCGGCCACCCCAGCGATCCCAGACTCCCATGACCGAGGAAACAATCATCAAGATGGGCAAGGAGCTGACGCGACTTTGCGACGGCATTGAACGACACGGTCTGATTGACTATGACTACGGCGTATGGGAAGAGGACGTCATTGAGAGTACGTGTCGCGAGACATTCGCCTCTTCAGCAGCACAACTAACGCGCAGACCATCTAGTTGCAATCAAGTGCCTGGACGTTGCCCAGGGCGTCGAGGGTGGCGGGTCCAATGCCGATGCGGCCGGCGCCAGCGCGCATGGCGGAAGCAATTAACGAACTGAAAGAGCCCATGTCGCCAGCTCATCGCGACTACGACACAGACGACGAGACACGATTACTTTTCGACGGTGTACGCTACGATGCCTGCATTTTTAACCGGACAAAAGGACTAGGCCCGCATGCCGGCAGGGCCTCCCTCCCCTCACGGCTTTTCTTGCTCCCTACAATGGGTGGGGGAGCGAAGCCCATGTCCTGCACGAGCGAGGCTTGGTCATGGGACAGGCACTCTCTTGGGGCTGGAGTTGGGTCACGAAAAGGATGCCACACGGAATGGCGTTGATTTAGGGAGGACAAGCTGAAATTTCTCTCTCTTCGGGGTTGGGCGCACTTCCCGATTCGGGGGTGTCTTTTTTTTCTCTCTCTCTCTCTCTTATTTCATTTCTTCTTCATTATTTTCTTTCCCATCTCTCTTTCTCTGCTGGTGCCGCGACTACCCCACATTTGTTTCTATTGCTGCTGTTTTCTCTATGTCATGGATAGACTCGGGCTTCTGAGGGGACCGTAACAAGGGCGGGGATCAACAGGGTACGCGTTGCGCGGTTAGGAAAGCCTCACGGTTAACACCTTGGCAGGGACAGAGCAGGCAGCGGAGGTTTGCTGCCGGCTCAGGACGGATGAATGGCAGTTTTTGGGAGGGGTGTAAGAAACGATGTATGAGGAACCTCAGGGTGTGCGCGATGTAACATGAAGACGGTGGTGTAGATCAGGCCGAGATGCTCTCACGAGCTTTTTTTTTCTCTCTCTCTTTCTCGTTTTCCCTTTGCTTTACAGACTTGTTCCAGACAGGCCATCCCTGGCCTCAGTATT